GAAGATGAAATGAAAGTTTTCAAGAGAAGTGGAGTTTTTATATGTGGATAAAGGTGCCGGCCCATTCAAGGCCCAAACTACCTTGTTTTTATTTTCTTATAAAACTACAACCCAACTAAATGTTTATTTAAATACATTTTTATCAAATACCGATAAAATTATTCATTATTAAATCAAATTCCTGATTTTATAAAAATCATTTGTACATACAAATGAAACTTTTAAAATTTTAAATTTGAATTTTATAATATTGAATCTATTTATTTTAAGAGAATTTTTAATATATTTGGCATTACATAAGTTACTTTATCAGTTACCCGTTGGGACAGAGTTTTCTAAACTATAATTTGGGAGCTAAGTCAATTGATCTCTTAATCAATAAGACTAGACCCTAGTAAATATAATTATAACTATAGGAATCCTATAAAGATGCTAATCTGACGCTCCGAAAATGATGGATGTCACAGATCACGTACTCGCAAGTCTCTAATCTTCAGTTTCAGTCTTCGACATTGGCTGAAGGTTCTTTGGTGTGAGTGTTGTCTTCTTGAAGTATCGCTGTCGCTGATTGAATTACAATACAAGTTCTTCAGGGATCACTGAACAGGTTCAGTGAAGATCGCTGGAACTGAAAAGACAGAAACACAAATACCTCGTATAAGTGAAAATGAATTATCATCAAATCACTGTGAGAGAGGATCAACATAAGCAATAAAGGTTAATAAACTACTTGTTTTGATGAAGAAATTCCACAATTTACTTAAAGTAAGAGTTGATAAAAAAGGCATGACATTCGAACAACTACATATAGAGTGGCTGTTAGAAACAAATGAGAGATGATAAATCCGATGCAGCTTAAATGGTACTGAGGACTGCTGTCACTAAAGGAACCATATCTCAGACTTGAGTCTGATCACCTTTGCGGAAAGTAAATGTCATGTAAAGCAGAGGTTAATCACTCTTAGGACACTCTCAATCAGCTGGCTACAGGGCGTATCCTTGAAGCCATTTTCAGGTGCAGGCCCATAACCTCTAGCAATAACCAATTCATATGCTAGTTCTTTGAACACGTATGCGGTTTAGGTAATAACCTTAAGATGTCATAACAGCCTCACCCATAGGAGCATCCAAAAACCTATCATTTACTTAAAAGAACACCAAATCACGAGAAAAGTAAGATTTCTATCCAACACAAATTCCTATCAAGAAAGTATTAAAAGGACCTTGACCTTCTCTGGGCTTTGAACATACTAATTTGTCGAGGTTCGATCATTATTTAGAGCCTTCTCACAGCAACAGTGTAGGAGTATTTTCTGCCACATAAATGCTCAAAGTGCAACCATCAAACAAGAAATGGAAAAGAGCATTGCATTTGAACAATGCAAAAGGAGACGTATATTGAATGTGGTTGAAATGAGTGAGGGACGAGCCTATGTGAACATGTAATGATTTAGTTGTTACTGTGCTTAGGAATATGTTTATTTCTTTTATCCAGGTTTTTTTTTTTTGTGAATGCAATTGAGGACTTCTGTTGTAGAATTATGTTGTGAACTTTTTAAATCTATTTGCTGAATGTAATTTAAAATAACTTTGTGAGTTCAGACAGAGGTGATCTTCCTAGGACGATTAGCTCATCCAAATATCATTCGTCTCTTAGGATACTGCAGTGATGAACAAGAATCATTGCTTGTTTACGAGTACATGCAGAACAGAAGTTTTGATCGCTTATTATTCACAAGTAAGCTATATAAGAGTTTCTATAACTATCGTTGGAATTTTTTTTCTCAAAAGTTGAACTTTTCGCAATCAAGTAACTATGTAACATGAGTAATTTTGCAGATGCAACATCACTTTCATGGTTAACACGCCTTATGATAATGATAGGAGTTGCCCGTGGGCTTGCTTATTTGCATTCATCAACACCTCAAGTCATATTGCGTGGTTTTAAAACCTCTGATATAATGCTAGATCAAGTAATCTTGGGATATTCATAATTTATGGCGGTTAATTATTTTTTTATGCAAACAAAGTTAAACCTTTATCTTGACTTTATCCAATTCCAGGATTTTAATGCAAAACTGGGGGATTTTGGGTTAGCAAGACGTGGTCCTGAAATCGGGGAAACACATGTCAGTACAAGAGTTATGGGAACCTATGGCTATGCAGCCCCTGAGTACATCACGACTGGTATGTTGCCCTATAATGAAGAAGATATTTAGAAGCTGTAGAGGGTTGATATTTGCATGAGTGATTAACATCTATAAATGTCATATTTGATTTATGTGAGAAGCATATCATCATTCTTTCAAAATATTAGTCTTGCAAAGCATAAGAATAAACATTTTTTAGATATATAATAAAACAAATATCATGCTTCCTAGAAGTTATATTTTTACAAGAACGATAGACAAACTCAATGCACTTATCCGAAAGTCAATCCCTCTACTTCGGAACCCAATTGGGCAACGAATATTAGACAAGTTCAAAAGATCATACTCTTTGTGATTCTAAACAAGACACTTCAATGTTGCAGGTCGTTTGAGTGCGAGGAGTGATATCTATGGTTTTGGAGTGGTCTTGCTAGAAACTGTAACCGGTCTACGGGCAATGGACCAGAATCGGCCCAGTGAGCATCATAACTTGGTAGAATGGAAAAGTCCAATGCTAGCAAGAAGAAACAAGCTAAAGGGAATTATGGATCCATGTTTTGGACAGAATTACCCCCTAGAAGCTGCTTCCAAATACGCGAAACTCACATTAAAATGTCTCTCAATGGAACCTAGGCTTAGACCTTCAAGTGAAGAAGTTTTGCAGAGTTTGGAACAAATATATTCCATTAACAAGTAAAAAGGACAACTTAAGAGATAGTGATACACAAATGCTTATGAGATGTAAGAAGACAATGCTTATATAGATGGCAAAAATGGAGAGAAGTCGATGGAGTGGTGGGTTTGGTTGTGTAATGGTGTGATGCATATAAGGAGTAATGATCGGAACTTGAATCCTATAGCTTCTAATTTTTTATCACCATCTGCAAATTATGTTTCAGAGTTTGAAGATGAATCCAGTGTTCCACAACTCTAGTTCTTCGTTACTAAGCAGGTGTTCATCAGATTGTTTTGAGCTCTTGTTATTTGAATATTTTTAGGTCCTCATGTTTTTTGGAGTATGGGTTTGTATGCGAAGGGAAATTAATTAAAATAGTCATTTTGACTGGTTGGTTAACTTTTTAGTCAATCCTTTACAAGGTTAATTAAAATAGCCTAGGTCTGTAATTTGAAATTTGAAGAATAAGGCTTTTGAGCTGCCTGAGCATTGAATATGGAACACAGGCCAAACGAAGTCATACATGCAGACTTGAGTGAAAAATGTAATTTTTTTTGCGGAAAAGGATAGGAAGTGTAAGTTTTTGTCATTTAGCTCTTTTACGAATCTAGTTCTATTTTGATAAACTTTGGAGAGAAATAACCAGTAAAACAACCAGTTGACTGAAATGGCTTGGGTTGAATTTGAAAATTAAATGGGCCAATCAGTTATTGCTTCTAGCCTAGGGCTATAGAGGATTCGATGTAAAGAAAAGTTATCATCTGCTGGTCGTGGATGTTAGAATTGAATTTTACCTTAACATTATCTTATATAAAATATTAAAGGATGATCGATTTAAATGATTATACTTATTAAGAGAATCCTCCTATAATAGTTATAATCCAGTTTCTTATTTGGATATATGTCTTCTAATATAAGTAGGATCATTTGTTGATCATCTCTTTCAGTGATTTGATGATAATACCTTTTACCTTATACGAAGTATTTTATGTTTTTGTCATTCAGTTCCAGCGATCATCACTGAGTCTGTTCAGTGATCGCTGAGAACATGCATTGTAATTCCATCAGTGACAGCGATACTTCAAGAAGACGAAACTTACACCAAAGAACCTTCAGCAAAAGTCGAAGACTGAAGCTGAAGATTAGAGACTGGCGAATACGTGATCTGAAGCGGTATTCAGTGATTACAACCTGGTCTACACATGTGTGAAGACTGCCCAAGCCTCATCAAATGCTGAAGAGACCTTCAAGTCATTCTAGCTTTTAGCGATCAAAAGAAGCTTGTTGAGCACGATTGCTTTTGTCTTGTCCTTATACACACAAAGGACAAACCCATACCCTTTTTAAAGTATAGTACGATATGGAACCGATTAGTTGACTCTACTGCCCACCAACTTTGTGAAAGGATGTCTGCTCATAAATAGACTTTTGTACTATTCACTGTAGCAAAGGACAAGTCTTTTTCTAAAGGCTTGACACGTGTTCTAACCCTACTACATTGCATTAAATGTGCATTTAATGCAATGGGTATAAATAGATGTGTTCTATCTCCATGTAGAGATATTGATACTTACTCTTGAACCCTAAATTGCGTTCATAAGTAAAAGAACACATATCTAAGAACACAATACGCTTATCTTCAAAAGCAAGTTAGAATCCCTTTATTGTATTCTAAATAGTTCTTACCCAGAAAGAAGTTACTTTCTTTTAAGTCTTTTACAGCAAAGCTTTTCTCTATTTGCTAAGAACTAGTGTGTAACTTTAGATTGTTTAGATAGGTTTTACTTACTTTATATTTCCGCAAATAATCTTGTAAATCTGTATTGATCCTTCTTTATCAATATATATTTTAAATTTGAAAAGTTTACTGTGTTTGTATTCATCCCCCCTTCTACAAACTGGTATACACATCTTATAGACCCTAGCGGGACCAACATCATTCATTAAGTTAATTAAGTGTACATCTTCTCCTATTTGGAAAGCAAACCTAACGATAAACTAGGACTCCTTGTCAGATAAGTCTCTAGATTTCTAGGGACTATAAATAAAGGTGATAAATTCCTTGTTGCCTACACGATATTGCATTCAGTTCAATCCATACTGAAACAAACTATATACAGCTTTAGAAATCTTCAATCTACACACAACATTGGCCGCTTCCACTTCAATGAACCTCGGTGTGTATAATTCAAGTGCTTCAGGTTAGTTCTACTAAGGGGATGTTTGCGATTGCTTATTTGAAATAACTTATGCTTTTCTAGAAAAGTGTTTATCAACTTATTATAAGTTAGAATGGTTTAACTTCTTCAAAACCTTCTTATTACGTTTGGCACCAGTATTAGTTGTTTATCCAAACACTTAAAAGTGCTTATTATCGGTGTCACACCGGAATAAGTCAATAAGTTGTTTTTATAAGCAATCCCAAACACCCATTAAACTTTTTACGTTATCATGTTGAATCGATTTTTGATACGTGTACATGTTCCTATGCCTTCATCTTTATTATTATATGCATAAGGATAATCCATATAATGATAACAAATAGTATCAGAACCTAAATTCAAACTGATTCATAAACCAATTTAATTTATCAGATTTTTTTCGATAAAAGCATTTTTGAATTTATTTTTTCTTCATAAAAATCAAATTATATAGATTCCAAAATGATTTATATATGTATATATTATATAAAACCCTATTAAAACCGTGACTAGATAAACTTCTTCAATGAGAAACAGAATATTGTGCAGTAATACACTAGTTGGTTAATATGCATCGATTTTTTGTTCATCAAGTTTTCATTTTTTGATATAGCTTAGAATTAAAATACAATAAAAGTTCCATATGAAGAGGTAGAACCTAGCGTACCCCATGTGCCACCCATTCGCCTTGGGTTGCCCGGTCCAAGTCACTCGTCCTTCGATGCCACGCCGTCGACCACACACGACCCCACACACTGTGCCCTAAATATTTTATGTGGGCGACTTATGTTGGTGCAACATAGGCGGCCTTACAAGGAGCCTTGACTTCTCTTTTGGTTACTTTCCTTCACCTGCATATGATCACCATCTAGTAGTGTTGGTCCCATTAGGGTCTACAAGATGTGTATAACAGTTTGTAGAAGGGGGATGGATGAATACAAACACAGTATTTTCAAATTTAAAATATACATTGATAAGAGAAGATCAATACATATTTTACAAGATTGTTTGTGGAAAGATAAGGTAAGAAAAACATATGTAAACAATCTAAAGTTTACACACTTAATCTTAGCAAATAAGAAAATATTTGCTGTTAAAGAAATAGCAGAAAGTAAGTTCTATCTAGGATTGAACTTGTTTAGAATACAATTGCTCTTGAAGATGAGCGTATTTGTTCTTAGATATGTGTGTTCTGTTACTTAAGCGCAAGAAAGCTCAGAGTAAGGTTTTTAGTAAGAGTATTTTTGCATGGAGATAGAACACATCTATTTATATCCATTGCATTAAATTTGCATTTAATGCAACGTGGTAGGGTTAGAACGCGTGTCAAGCCTTAAGGGGAAGGCTTGTCCTTTGCCACAGGAATAGTACAAAAGCCTATTCATGAGCAGACATCCTTTCAAAAACTTGGTGGGTAATAGAGTCAACTAATCGGCTCCGTACCGTACTAACATTTAGAAAGGGTATGGGTTTGTCCTATGTGTGTATAAGAAAAGGATACCAACAATCATGCTCAACAAGCTTCTTTTGATCGCTGAATATTGGAATAACCTGAAGGTCTCTTCAGCATTCGCTGAGGCTTGGGTAGTTTTCATACATATGTAGACAGGCTTATAATCATTGACTACCGCTTCAGATCACATATTTGCTAGTATCTAATCTTCAGTTTCAGTCTTTGACTTTTGCTTAAGGTTCTTTGATGTGATGCTGTCTTTTTGAAGTATCGTTGTTGCTGATTGGATTTACAATACAAGTTCTTTAGCGATCACTGAACAGACTCAGTGATGATCGCTGGAACTGAAAAAACAGAAACATAAATACTTCGCATAGGGTAAAAGGGATTATCATCAAATCACTGAGAGAGATAATCAACAATCTCCCCCTATTTGATGATATTAAGACAATATAAAGAAAGTTGTCTTATCAACTAATAGTAAGGAAAAGTAACATATAAAATACATGTCCCTTTTAACTATTTTGGGATCTTTTTCAGTGAGTCAGTTTTTACTTGACGAATTTTCTGAAGTTATATTTAAGAAAAGTTACAATAATAGAAACTGAAACTGAAAGCTTATTCACTGACTTATAGAATGTTAGTGAATGTGAAAAGTAATACTGGAACTCACAGACTTGTGTCTTTATTACTTTTTTTCAGGGATATTTTTCAGTGAATTACAAGAAACACTTATATTATATTCATTGGAAATATTAGAAGTTGTTCAGTACATGTCTAATGCTTACAGACTATAAGATTAATCACTGAAAGTAGACATAGTAAATAGATTTACAAAAGAAAATGTGGACAATATTACAAAGAAAGACAAACTAGTCTAGGATGCTCAAGTTAATGTAACCATGTACATCTTCTCCAAGGTTCTTTCGACGTAGGAACTCTCTTCGTATTTTTCGGTCCACGACTTTTCCTTGCAGGCTATCATCTATCCAGAACATTAGATAAATCAGATGTCCCATTGGGCATAGATGTAGCTCAGACATTCTATCAAATTTTACCTCATCTTCATAGTCAAGAAATATAACTCCTAACTTAGGTTTAAAGTGCACAAAGTTGGGTATATAGGGACCCTTCTCTGGCAAATCAAGATTCAACATAGAAATGTCTATACTATCGTATTCCTTTAGGAATTCATCTAAGAAGAACCTTGTTTCATGTTCGTTCCTCAAGGATGGTCCATCATTAGGACTAGAGAGTCTTTTCTTCCTTCCACCTTTCTTCAGAGATGGCCTGTTAGGGACTGCAACATACCTGGACATCCTTTTGATGATATGTTTGATGATGTCTTCGATAATCGACTTATGTCT